TTAGTGTACCTAAAACTGAAGATGAATGTGATGAGAGGGATCACAAATTATTGCAAGCCAATGCTAAAGCCAAACTCACCCTTATTTATGGATTAGACTCTAAGGAGTATAATAGAATTACAAGTTGTGATTCGGCAAAAAAAATTTGGGACAAACTTGAAGTAACTTATGAAAGTACAAACGAAGTAAAAGAATCCCGTATTAATATGCTTGTTCATAGTTATGAATTGTTTAAAATGAATTCTGATGAATCTATTTCAAGTATGTTTACTAGATTTACTGAAATTGTAAACTCTTTGAAATCTTTTGGCAAAAATTATACTAACAGTGAATTGGTAAGAAAAATTCTTAGGTGTTTACCAAAGAATTGGGAAGCAAAGGTCACCGCCATTATAGAAGCCAAAGATCTCTCCACACTTGGATTGGATGAGCTTATGGGTTCCCTTATGACTCATGAGATCACCATGAAAGGACATGAAGATGTTGAAAACAAAAAGAAAAGTGGAATTGCATTTAAAGCCTCATCAAATGAAGAAGAATATGAAAACTCCAAGGAGGATGAAAGCTATGCCATGTTTAGTAGAAATCTCAAAAATTACTTCAAGAAAAACAATTATGGAGGAAGAAGATTTTTCAAGAAAGAGTATAACAAAGATAACAAGAAAGAGCCTATTATTTGCTATGAGTGCAAAAATCTTGGACATATGAAGATGGATTGTCCAACATTGAAGAATCATGGAAAAGACTACAAAAGAAACAAAAAGGCCATGGTAACAGCTTGGGAAGAAAGTGAAGATGAAAGCTCAAGTGATGAAATTGAAAATGAAGTAGCCAACTTATGTCTTGTGGCTCTTGAAGATGAAGACTCTACTCAAGATGAGGTAACTACTCTTTATGAAGAACTTGAAAATGCATTCCATGAACTATCAAATGAATTTAGAAAATTTTGTGCCAAAAGTAATGTGTTGAAGAAATCTGTTGCATCTTTATCTATTAATGTAAAAGAATTAAAGAAAGAAAAAATTATTTTTAAAAATGATTTTGATACTACTTTAAAAAACACTGTTGATGATTTAACAAAAGCACTGGAAAATTTTGTAAAAGGTAGAGATAATCTCAACATGCTTCTTGAAAATCAAAGATGTGTTTTTGATAAAGCGGGTATTGGATATGACCCTATTAGGAAACAAAAAAATCTCAATACAATTTTTGAAAATGCACCTCTCATGACACACCCTCATATTACTTGCCATTATTGTAGAAAGAAAGGCCATTATATATCTTATTGTCCATTCAAAAAGAATATGAACATAGGAATTAAAAAGATTTGGATTGTTAAGGGATCTAACAAAACTAACCAAGAAGGACCCAAGAAACTATGGGTACCAAAAACCAACACTTGATTGTCATTGTTTTTGATAAATCACATTGCTCAATTGAAAGCACAAATGATCATAAAGTGCATGCAAAGAAGCAAAATCATGAATGTTTATGTTTTTCATCTTAATGATCTCTATGCCAGTGATGTTAAATGTTTATATGTTAATAATGAAAATAGTTGGTTATGGCATAGAAGACTTAGTCATGCTCATATGGATTTAATTGCTAAACTTTTGAGAAATGATTTGGTCATTGGACTTCCAAAAATTAAATTTGAAAAAGATCATCTTTGTAATGCTTGTCAACAAGGGAAACAAACTAAAACATCATTTAAATCAAAATATCATATTTCCACAACTAGACCTTTACAACTATTGCATATGGATTTATTTAGTCCCTCAAGGACATCTAGTCTAGGTGGTAAACATTATTGTCTTGTTATTGTTGATGATTATTTCAGATTTACATGGGTTATGTTTTTAGCACACAAAGATGAAACTTTTTCTTCTTTCACAAAACTCTGTCGTATAATTCAAAATGAAAAAGGCTTTCTTATTTCTAATATTCGAACCGACCATGGTAGAGAACTTGAAAATGAGAAATTTGAATTGTTTTGTGATGAGCATGGTATTGGACATAATTTTTCAGCACCTAGAACCCCTCAACAAAATGGTGCAGTAGAAAGGAAAAATAGAACTTTAGAAGAGATGAGTAGAATAATGCTTTGCGAAAATAATCTTCCTAAATATTTTTAGGCCGAAGCTGTTCACACCGCATGCTATATTTTAAATCGTGCATTAATTAGACCTATTCTTAAAAAGACTCCTTATGAACTTTGGCATGATAGAAAGCCCAACATTAATCACTTGCATGTTTTTGGTTGTAAATGTTTTGTGCATAATAATGGTAAGGATAACTTAGGTAAATTTGATTCAAAATCTGATGAAGCAATTTTTTTTGGCTATTCCTTAACTAGCAAAGCTTATTGTGTTTTTAATAAAAGAACTTGTGTGAGTCGATTTCTGACTACACTGCCAAACTGGAACTCAGATAGAGAAACACTAGCAGAATAGATTAAGCCCGAACAACCTGTCACAAAAAGAAGAGATTCCGGCGGTGGTTCGTCCACCCAGGGGCACTCTGACGATCAAGTCAATTATCTCTCAAAGATAGCAAAAGTGCTGAACTCACTATTCAGGATACAAAAAGCATACCTTAGACCCATGGGGGTGCCTCTCTTTTATAGCCAACACTGACCTAACCCCAATAGAAGCCTAGCTTCAATGGACTCTGCCTTAATGCTCATCCTGGACTCCTAGTTAGATTGGGATAAACTCTCTAAGAGCCTTATCTTTATCCAAACTGAAGTCCTCTCTCATTTTAGGACTCTTGTCCCTTATCTGCTTATCTCGGATTCCGGTATCTTCGCAGATAACCTCGGCCTAGCCGAGATTACTTCGGTGTCATGACTAGGACACGTGACACCTCGGCTGACACTTTGGTGTCACCTCGGCCACGTGTTGTCACTCAAAAATTATGTCTCCACAACTGCCCCTTAGGTTCTATTATCTCGGCATCCTGAGGTGATGGAACCTATATCATTCCTTCCACTTAGCACGTCGGCTAAGTTCATTTTATCCTTCATTACCGAGGTCATCATTCGTTGGCTCAAATATGACCAAGACTTAGTCTGTTTTCACTAATCCTTTAGAACCATTAACCAAGTTTATTCAAGTTTCTCAGCCAAGATCGTTCCCCTTGCCGAGGTCCTCCACCATTAAATCAAGAACTCCAAGAGTTTCAACACGCGTATGAGCTATCACGCACGGTATTTCAACCGTTTCTGTCACGCGTCTTTCCCCCGCTGAGCCGTGCCTAACACGCGCCATTAAGTCACATTGTATTTGCGTGCGCCGTTTGACAAGCACGTAGTCCTAGGCACCATAATTGCCATTTTGCCGCCATTTCGTATGTTTGATCAAAATCGCCTCTCTCTCTCTCTCTCTCTGTCTTTTCGCTTTTGCATCATCATTTTCATGCAAAAACTCTCTCTCTACTCTCCCAAATCCGCCATTGTTTCAAGCTCTCAAGCTCTGCAACCACCTCCATTCTTCCCCTTCGGCAAAGCTTTTGCTGATCTGTTTCGATTGCTATCATCATCTGACTCTGGCGTACTCAACACCGACCTTATTTTTCTTCGGTGAGCCACTATTTCCTCCTTTATCGGTCTGTGTTTTTCTTCAAAAAGCTTTACTGTATTACTTGTTGCCATTGCCATTTTGTTTACGTTCTTGATTATAAATCTGTGCGTATGAATTTAATCATGTATCTGAGCACTTTTATTTTACGATTTCGCTTTTGCCCAATCCGTTTCTTAAATACACTCACTGTTCACCCATTTGTTCATTTTTGCCACTGTTCTTGGCCTCACTATTCCTGATTCTGAATCTTTGTTCTTGTTTGTTTTCTCCAAATTCCTGACTTCAATTCTTGTCTCCATAGTCTTAGGTTTGGGATTTGTTGTAGAACCCATGAATTTTTATGAAAAACTGAAACAAACTTCACTTAGATCCTCAAAATTTCTTGCCTAATCATTCTTCTAGGTTTTGCAGAGGTCCCTCCAACCTTCACAAAATACACCCTTCTGAAATCCAACACCTTCTCCCTAAGTCGACATCATGGGTATGTGGAGGCATAAGGTAGACACCCCAACTAAGTTGGAATACTTTAGGCAGGAGTTTTCCATCCCGGCCGATGTTCACTTTAGGTTGGCTGGGGAGAACGATTCCATCATGCCCACAGTTAGCTCCATACCCTTCCCAATTGTAGCTTTCATAGAGTGTAGACTTAGGCTCCCTCTCGACATCCTTTTCCGAGAAGTCCTTCACTACTATAAACTCAACCTAATGCAATTAGCCATTAACTCCTACAGAGTCATCAATGGTATCATAGCCTTAGCTAACCGAGAAAATGCTAGGGTAACTTTAGTCGACATACAATATTGTTATACCATGTGTAGCCTTAAGTTAGAAAAAGGCTACATTTACTACCTTAAGCAGAGGTCCACAGAATACAAAATTGTTGCCGACCTCCCAGACTCCAACAAGGGAGCTGGGGATGATTACCTCATCGTCTCGGGTAACTGAGAGTTCGCTCCAGATGAGGACCTTTACCTCTACCCTGTCAGCCGTACATTATTCAGAGAGGGAGATGGTAAGAACCAAGTGTTACACTTACTTGCTTTCAAGTCTTTAATACTTTGTTCCTTCTATATGTTCTGACGTCTGTTTTTTCTTGCAGTTCTTCCACAGCCACCCAAGGACTTTCGCAAGTCCTTTTTTTCCAGTAAGGACCTCAAAAAGCTGTTGGATCTACCAGTTGAGCTACGGAGATCTCCTTTGCTGCTCAACTTCATCCCGACTTACAAGTCGGTACTTCCCAATGTTCTGAAGAAGAAGAAAAGAAAGTCTCCTCTATCAGCAACAACTCCACAAGCCGAATCATCAAGGCCTGACCAAGGATCAACATCCGATCCAGCTGAGCAGCCATCAACCTTGACTCCATAACTAATCCCTCCATCTCAACGCAAACGTCGACATAGAACTACCATCGCCGCCGAGATGGGTCGCAAGAAAGCTGTTGCAGACAACCTTTTAGCCTACATCCCCAACATTGTCACTGCTCAACCTTTACCATCCCAATCTCAGTCGAAGCCAAAGCCAAAGAGGCTGAATAAGGCCTAAGCCAAGGCAACGGTGACTCAGATTGACTCTGAAGACACCTTGCCGATCTCCAAAATTGCTGAGGCAGAAAAGAGTGCCACCGCCGCCGAGAAGAGGCTCGCAGAGGCTGTTCCCTCTGAGTCAACGTGGTCAAAAAGACCGAGGTCTGCATCCGCAACAACCTCGGGGTCTATGAAATCCGATGCCCCTTGGGTCCCTCCAATCACTATTGAGGACAAGCCGGTCAGAGCCGGCGACAGCACGACTGACATCGAAGTTGGCGTTGCCCTCTTTACGGCTTTGCTTCTCTCGACAGATCTTGACTGCAACGCCGAATTCAACGAGTATGAAAACTTCACTCTAATGTTGCAACACTCCGCCCAAGTAAGCCCTTAACACTTGGTACTTTGTCATTTTCTATCATTTCATACTTGGAGAGTTTTACTAATCTTGTTTTTTTTTTCCATTTCTTCTAGGCCATCCAGCATGGCCACTCCTTTGCGATTCAAGCCTTCACCATTAATAAGGAGTTCGCCAACAAGACCAGGGAGGCTGTTGGCTTGCAGAAGACCATCAACAAGGCCGAGGCAAAGATGAAGACCTTGATAGATCAGGCCGAGGCAGCCAAGAAGGCTCAGGACGAGGCTGAGGAAAAGGCTGATGCTGCAGAGGCCATTGCCAAGGTCCTGGCGGCTGAAAAGAAAGAGACCGAGGCAAAGATAGTCGAGGCCCAAAAAGAGCTTCAAGATGCCTTGGCCACAAAAGAGGCCGAGATCAAAGCGGCGGACGGGAAGACATATGCCAAGGGGGCGGCCGACGTCAGAGAAGATTACAAGAAACAACTCAGACAAGCATGCAACAAGGGCTATACCCTTGGTTGGATGGCTGCTCTGAAAGAGTTGGCCGTCCCCGAAGACTTGCCTCTCCAAGAAAACAGCTGTATCGTCCTGCCATTTCCCCTACTCCAAGCCAATTCAAGGACGAGGCTGAGTCTGAGGAGGAAGTTGTGGCCGACAAGAACGATGAAGCTACTGGGGCTCAGTCCCCAACCCTGAATGAGCAAGTCTAGGACTTGACTCAGGATGAGGATGTAGTCTCCAAAGATGCCTCCTCTCAGAAGACAAACTCCGAGGTGCCAATCGCCGAGAGGAGCCCCGATCAAACTCTTCAGGAGATCGATGCTGAGCTCGAGGCTGAGAAGGCTGCTGAGAAGTCTTCCCAACTGTCTTCTGGGACCGAGACCTAGCCTGCCGAGTAGTCTTGTTGTACTTTTTCTCACTTTTGAAACAATGTTATCTTTAATTTGGCCGAAGTGCCACTTTTGTAATCTGAACAATTACTCTTTAATGTTAGGCCGAAGTGCCTTCTTTCATTATCTGAATGCATCCTCAAATTTCTTCTTTTAATGTGATTGCATGTTTGTCTTCCTTTTACTATCTTGTATGATTCCATACTTATTAATTTGCATGTCTTCAACGTACACCTTAATTGTGTAATCTTCTCGGAGTAAAATACCTCAGAAATAACTGTTGAGTTGTTTATCTCGGCATTGGCTTACCACTTGAAAATATTAAAAAAAACATTTTCACAAGTGTTATTTACAACTTGCCACTTCTTTCAACATAACCTTGGCTTAATTTCAACTTGTAAATTCTAAAATTTCAACAAGTGTTAAACCAAAAACCTCGGCTTAACTTCAACTTATAAATTCTAAAATTTCAACAAGTGTTAAACCAGCTTTAGCTTGTAAATCCCAACTTCCAAGCATTATTCTCCAGCCATCTGCCCCCTAATGTGAACTTAAGTTCCACTTGGGTTCTCATTAAGCATGTACCAATGATCTTGTTGCCGAGATCAGATTCAAACAGACACTGGCTAAGGTCATAAACCTCGGTCTCCCTGTTAATCTATAGGTCAACTCAACTTAGTTTAACTCTATTATATGCAAGTATAATTCAACTCTGTCATATAATAAATCTATGTTATTCGTCATGTTTCAATCAGAAACATCGCCAACTTAGTTCAACTTTATTATATGTAAGTAGAAACTCTGCCGTATAATAAGTCTAAGTTATTCGTCATGTTTCAATCAGAAACATCGCCAACTTAGTTCAACTCTATTATATGCAAGTAGAAACTCTGTCATATAATAAGTCTAAGTTATTCGTCATGTCTCAATTAGAAACATCGCCGACTTAGTTCAACTCTATTATATGCAAGTATAATTCAACTCTGTCATATAATAAGTCTAAGCCATTTGTCATGTTTCAATTAGAAACATCACCGACTTAGTTCAACTCTATTATATGCAAGTATAATTTAACTCTGTCATATAATAAGTCTAAGCCATTTGTCATGTTTCAATTAGAAACATCGCCAAGTTACTGATCAGTCATACTACACAAGTGTAAAAAAAAAATCAAGTTAAAACATTATTATTACTTCGGCTAATAACAAGAAAAACAAAAAATCTAATGATAGAAAAATTTCAGATTGCACGTATTCCAAGGCCTTGGCAACTTTTTGCATTAACTGTCTTCAAGCCGATATGCCCCATTGCCTAATACCGAGATGATTCTATAGGGTCCTTCCCAATTTGGGCCAAGCTTGCCTTGTCTGGGATCCTTCTTGTTGCCAACAACCTTTCTCAGGACGAGGTCCCCAACTTGGAACTCTCGTGGGTTAACCTTCTTATTATAAGCCTTGGCAAGCTGCTGCTGGTATGCCCCCAGCTGAATTGCTACTTTTTCCCTTCTTTCCTCTAGCAGATCCAGATCTCGGGCTAAGAATGTCTCATTGGTCCCATTTTCTACTCCCTGGGTTTTGATCCCAAGGATGCCAACCTCCAATGGGATTACTGCCTCTGTGCCAAAAGCCATGGCAAATGGGGATTCCCCAGTTGATCTTCTTAGCGTAGTTCGATATTCTCAAAGTACACGGGATAACTCATCCATCCCCTTTCCCTTAGTTACTTCCAGCCTCTTTTTGATCCCATCCAAGATGACCTTATTGGATGCTTCTGCTTGACCATTGCTTTGAGGAAAGCTTGGAGTAGAGTAATAATTCTTGATTTTGTATTTTGCACAGAAGTTCTTGATTAGCTTATTGTCACACTGTGTACCATTGTCTGCTATTATTGCCCTTAGGATCCCAAACCTGGTGATGATGTTCTTCCAAATGAAACTCTTCACATTAATATCTCAAATTTTTGCGAGGGGTTCAGCTTCCACCCATTTGGTAAAGTAATCTGTTGCCACTAGTAGGTACTTCCTTTGTCCAGTTGCTTGAGGCAATTGTCCAACAAGATCTATGCCCCATTGGGCAAATGGCCAAGGGCTGGACACTGGGTTCAAGTCCGCTGCCGGTTGATGTATCAAAGGTGCAAACCTTTGACACTTCTCACATTTTCTGACATAGGCTTCAACATATTTCTGCATATAGGGCCGCAAGTACCCCTGACTTATGGCCCTATGAGCAAGTGATCTGCCCCCTGTGTGGCTTCCACATACTCCTTTATGTATCTCATACAAGAAGTCTTCAACTTGTGAATGATGTACACACCTCAAAAGGGGTCCAGTAAAAGATCTTCTGTAGAGATATTCTTCTGCTGTCAGACTGAATCTTGCCGACTTCAGTCTGATCTTGTGTGCTTCTTTATGGTCATCTGGCAGTTTTTCCTCTTTAAGGAATACTATTATTGTATCCATCCAGCTTGGTCTTATCTCTACACACATTGCTTCATGCTTTGTGTTTAGTGGTTCTATGCTGGGACCTGACAAGTAATCCACCATTATCGTCCTTGCCTCTCCAGGTTTCATTGCACTAGCCAGGTTGGCTAGAGCATCAGCATGGCTGTTGTTATCACGGCTAACCTGCTATAGTCGGCAATTCTGGAATAAGACTACCAGTCTGCCCACCTCCTTTGCATAGGCCTACATTCTTTCATCTCGGGCTGTGTATTCGCCTGTTGCCTGGTTGACAATAAGCTGGGAGTCATAGAAGGCTATTACCTCGTCAGCTTTTATTGCTACTGCCAGCTTTAATCCTGCGATCAGTGCTTCATACTCTGCTTCATTGTTTGAGGCTTTAAACCCCAAATGAATGAATTGTTCTAGTATCTGCCCATCTAGTAATACTAGCACTACTCCTGCCCCCGCCCCTTGTTGGTTTGAACTCCCATCAACAAACAGTCGGAAGGAGTCACTGATGTAAATATTGTATGGCCTGTGCTTCTCTTTTTTCCTCTGTTTGGCTATCCCCAACTGGGTTTCTCCTTGTTCACCTCGGCTTAACGGAGCCCGATGTGTGATGGCGCCTAGTGTGAACTCGGCCACAAAGTCGGCCAAAACTTGGCCTTTAATTGTCATTCTGGATCTGAATTCCAGGTCATATTGGCCCAACATCATTGCCCATCTGGCTATTCTGCCTGTCAGATCTCCCTGCTGCAACAGGGACTTTAAGAGATGCTCAGTTAACACCACAATTTTGTGGGCTTGAAAGTAATGATTCAGCTTCTTGGAAGCCATTACCAAAGCCAGTGTTAGCTTTTCCAAGGGTAGGTATTTGCTCTCTGCATCTGCAAGGGTTTTACTCACGTAGTAAACTGTCCTTTGCTCTCCATTTTTTTCTCTGATTACCATTGCACTCATTGCATGTTCTGAAACTGCCAAGTACAAGAACAACTCTTCTCCTAGTACTGGGTTTAAGAGAACTAGAGCTGTGGTCAAGTACTTCTTCAAGTCGTCCAAGGCGACTTCGCACTCTTCTGTCCATAAGAAGTCTGTTTCTTTCTTTACTAAGCTGAAGAAAGATTTACATTTGTCAGAGCTTCTGCTTATGAATCTATTCAGGGTTGCAGCCCTTCCAGTCAATATCTACACTTACTTTGCCGATGTTGGGCTCTCCAACTCCAAAATGGCCTTGATTTGATTGGGGCTAGCCTTAATGCCCCTTCTAGTAACCAAATATCCTAAAAACTTACCAGACCCAACTCCAAATGCGCACTTCGATGCATTGAGTCAAAGCCGATATGTTCTAAGGATGTCAAAAATTGCCTTTAAGTCTTCTAGATGATCCTCAGGTTCCTGGTCTTCACGACCATGTCATCTATGTATACCTCCACTGTTCTGCCAATTAGATGCTTGAACATCTTGCTTACCAACCTTTGGTAAGTTGCTCCTGCATTTTTTAACCCAAAAGGTATTACTTTATAGCAATATAGCCCTTTTGGGGTAATAAATGCAGTCTTCTCCTCATTTGGGGGGTACATAGCTATCTGATGGTACTCCCTGTATGGATCCACGAAGCTCATTCTTCCATACCCTAAAGTGGCATCCACCAATTGGTCAATCTTGGGTAGTGGGAAACTGTCTTTGGGACAAGCTTTGTTCAGGCTGGTGAAGTCCACACAGACCCTCCACTTCTCATTCTTTTTCTTCACAACTACCGTATTTGATAACCATGTCGGGTAATTTAACTCTCGAATGGCCCTAACCTCCAGAAGTTTATCCACTTCTTCTTTTACTGCCTCGACATGCATTAATGTCGACCTTTTTGCTCGCTGGATGACAAGTTTAGCGGACTTATCCACATTCATTCTATGGCAAGTGACCTCGGGATCAATGCTAGGCATCTCATACGGTGTCCAGGCAAACATCTCAATGTTTGCTCTTAAGAATGCCTCTAGCACTTTTTCCTTTTCCTTGGCCAAGCCTAAGCCAAGAAGGAAGAAGCGCTCTTCATCCCCTTGCTAGACGAGGATTTTCTTCAAGGCTTCCTCACTCTTCTCGGCTGGCTTTTTGCCGACGTCATCTAGGAC